AATGACCTCGTCCGTTCCTGTCAATTGATACTTTTTTGTACGTGATTATCGAGGACACAGTGCAGGATTTAGGATATTGCTGGATATCAATCAAACTGTTGTAAAAATGAAGCGCTATTGGGCTACCATCGGGGGTATCTGCAACCATTTTCGAGTTAATTGTGAAGTTGAAAGTAGATGAGTAAAGATAGTATCCTTTGTTATACCCTCGTAAAATTCATATTTTACTGACCAATCAGTTTGATGTCGCATGGCTTGGCTTGACTACGCATGCGCATGGATCTTGGGATCGCGTATCTGAATACAAATTGTAAGCTAATGATTACGTGATTCAAGACAACCGATCCAGAACTTGTCTTCCATAGTACTCCAGACAGGTGTCATCATAGAATCAGGTCTTGGGTGAAATGGCCGGATTCAAACAAAGGGCTGTGTGAAAGTGCGCTCCTCGCGCTATTTGACGACCGTAATCTTCTTTTCCGCTAAAATGAAGGAAATTCCGAAAATGAATCTTCTTGCAAAAAGCGCACAATTATTTTTCATCCCGTAGCCGGTCTATGTCAGCATCCAGCTGCAACGAATTCATTATGTTTAATTGAGATTTCTGACGGCGCCGTCAATCTATGAACTTTTTTGAAGCTTTCGAATCCAACCAAATATTTGCGTTTCCATGAGGACTCCATTGAGAACGTTAGTCAAAAAATTATGGGGATCTTGGCGCAGGTGAGGTATAAGAGGGATGCGAATTCAGTCTTTCCTATAGCATTTTTTACAGTGAAAAATATTTTTGCTATTGATTATTGCTTATAAACACATATATAACACTATGACGAAATTGGGAGATTTTTGACCCTAAATTTAAGAGCTTGGGAGCTGTGAAAGTTCCCTCAGCTTAATAATTGTGTCGAATGTCGAAAATTTGCCTAACTTCTTATTCATCTCAAAAAGTTTGTGGTCTTACAAAAACGTGTATTTGAGGCTCTTGGAAACAATATTAATTTATTGCAACTTTTTGCAAATAATTGGCACATTGACACTTACCTAGCAGAGCGCGGAGACCAGCGCGTTTAATTGTTGTAATCAAATTCAACTGCGTTGATGCTAACAGCAAGACTCAATAAAATGGTACGTGCAAAATTTGAAGGAAAAAGGTTTGTTTTGACCAGTTTTTATTGGATAACTTCTGTTTTACGCCGCAGTTCGCGTTGCGAAAGTTATCACAAGAATGCTGCGTTGTGGGCAAACTTTCTCGGCCGAGCCAGGGAATCGTACTCGGATCTCTTGCTTTCCGATTGCGCTACCGGATATCTTGCCGACGACTCAGTATTCTTGTAATATCCAATAACAAGACTAGAATTCCGCGTTCATGGAGGTTCTCTGTTCTGACCCCCTCCCAGATCCTACTCCATAGGGTCATAAATTGACGCAATCAATGGGAGAAATAAGCGAAAATGTTTTCAATTTCAGGAAATCAGGACCGCCATCATTACGAGTCTTTTGCTGTTTTTGAGAATTTACCTTCATATGCTATCCACTTGGACAACGGGCGAGCGTGAGTTTCTGACTGATCTCTTCGTAATTTCTT